TCTTGTGCCAAACTTAGCCATTCATTCAACACGATGAATAAGCTTCTTGTTACTCTCAATTTACAATAAGACTATAGTTTAACACAGACCCAAAGGCGGAAAATTCTCTCGAAATATTATTTTCGATTTATCTGCGCTCTTATGGAATAATATTCATGTATCTAATTATGAAAACCTGGATTTTTGCCCTATGGGCATCCGTACCTCCGCAGCTCCTCCAAATCGAACAGTCCTGATATGTAATTAACGAAGCTCTATTTAAATGTTTGGCATTTTCCTTAATCATGTGCTTTTAAAAATCAATTAGAATCAAAACTTTGAAGTGTTTAAAAAAAAACAGAGCAGTTTTGCATTAAATTATTTCATTTCTTTTTCTTTTTCAATAAATGCTATGACATTGGGGGTCTTGGCCCTCTACAGCTTCAAATTTATTTCATATCTGCCAATTGCCAAGACGGCTTTGGAAATATTGGAGTGATTTATCATTGTTTTCAACACGATTTTGAATTTAGTGATGTTCAGTCATCAAGTGTCATACGTGATACACACTTGGGAGATCATGTCTCTTTCGTTTCATGACTGACTCGGTAGAAGTAGATCACCATTGTTATATGCCATATAGTAGAATTGATATTGCATAACAGTTCAGTACACTTTTCTTTATTTCTCTTGCTTCAAGTCTCTTCTTCATCTGTGAGGAGATTGTGAGCCATATAGGAGGACTGATATTACATTACACTTCAGTACTCTTTTCTTTGTTTCTCTTTGTCTCTTCTTCATCTGTGAGGAGATTGCATTCACTGCCATATGGGAGGACTGATATTACATAACAGTTCAGTACTCTTTTATTTGTTTCTCTTGCTTCAAGTCTCTTCTTCATCTGTGAGGAGATTGTCCAGCATTCACTGCCATATAGGAGGACTGACATGTTATATATTCTAATGGGTATTTTGGCTTCGTGTTGATTTAAATATATATGAGGTGAATGCTAAAAAGTTTCGATACGATCCACTTCCTGAAACAAGTATTTTGTTTGTTACAACCGATTGCTGTTCGGACATTTTGTTTTATGGGGTTGAACATAGAGCGAAACAAAAATATCATAAAAATAATTGATTGATTTTTATCCATCAGTCAGTAATCATACAGGGAACTTCCACTTAGTGTAATGGTTAACAAGCTTGTCTCCGAAAAACAATTACAACCGAGAAGTGTGCTGTATTCTCACCGGGAGCTCCATACTTTCGGCCTTGTGCCCCATCCAAGCTACGCTTACAGAATCACCTTTTAGGCATTTACGCCTTGTACCACATCTCAGCTAGGTTTATAAAATCCTCAGAGGCACTTCGACGTGGTGTATTGGTTAACAAGCTTGTCTCACTAGATCAATTACGGCTGAATAGTGAGTTCGATCCTCACTAGGTGCCTCGTCCTTTCGGTCTTGTATCACATCTAGGTTACGCTTAGGAAATCCACTTTCAGTAATCCTACAGGGTGAAAGAAATATAAAATCGATAGTATAGGCGGTGCTGTTTATTTTGTTTAATCATTTCACTCCGAGTAAGGCAATAAAGCCGCTAAGACGCAATGGGCTGCTGAGTGTGGAAAATATGAGAAAAAGAAAAACATCATTAAAGGGAGAGTACAATAAAAGTTGATTGATTGATTTGTTTTCTATGGTTTATCAACCCTTTTGCAGTTTATTTAAAGCCAGAAATTAATGCGAATATAAATTAAGAGATCAATTCTGTATTAAAATCAATATATAAACTGATCCCTTATTTTGCGGCCACAGTATATTTTATATATATTTATATTCCAGAGAATGTAAATGAATCTAAAAGACATGTCTGTGAAGTTAATCAGTATTTCATTGATTTATTTGTCCTCCAAGGCTATAGAACCCAGTCTGTCTTGCTATTTACACATAGCGTTTTAGAAGAAGAGAACAGGTATGAATCTTCTTCTTCTTCTTCTTCTTCTTCTTCTTCTTCTTCTTCTTCTTCTTCTTCTTCTTCTTCCCTCCAGCTATGGCTAAATAGCAGGATAGACTGGGTTCTATAGCTTTGGATGGCAACTGGTCTAAGAAGAGGACAACTCTGATTTCAAAACCTGCGGTGGGTCGTTTGGGGACCTTGTGGCACGTAGTGCACCAGGTCTTTGTATAGGCCCTTCAAAAAGTGTGGATGATTTTGCACAAATCCTTCACCACTATAATCAAATCATATTTGCTGGTGTCTGGGCTGTCGGTTCGTAGGAACTGAGCTGCTTGACCATCATACATCAAATACACCGGGAGTGCCCACCATATATATATATATATATATATATATATATATATATATATATATATATATATATTTGGTTGGATAGATGTGAGTTTGTGAGCCTGGGTTTCACGCTTTACACAAACTCACATCTATCCAACCAAATATGTTAGCTCTGTCTCTGATATTGAGCGCTTTCTAATAGTACACGCGCATATAATATATAAATAATTATACATATATATATATTTATTTATATTTATATACACTTTTCACACACACACACACACACACATACACACACACACACATATATATATATATATATATATATATATATATATATTGGAGAGCCGAGTTCGAATTCCAGTCTATTACATTCACTTACGTGCTAATACTCTTGGGAAAGGTATGAATCCTCTTCTTCTCCCTCCAGCTATGGGTAAATAACAGGACAGACCGGGTTCTATAGCCTTGGGTGGCAACTGGTCTACTGCAGAAAGAAATGACAACCTACTACGGAAAAAAAAAATCTGCCTCGTCAGTCATGTATCAAAAGATACATGATCGCCTAAGGGTGTATCACGCATGGCACATAACTGACTGCAATTTTTTTTTAAATTATTCAGTATTATTATTGTTTAGGTAATAAGCATTATGACATAGCACAAATAGCTATATTGTGGAAACAGGAATTTTAGACAATATACGCGTGTTTTACGTATTTTTTAACTTTTATCAAAAACGACATTCTTGTAGATATACTTATGGATAATATTATAAATTAATTACTAATTGTTTTAATTAATAACTATTTGTGTTCAGTTTTTCACATAATTAGCTATCTGCTGATGTGGTAAACTTTGGGAATAGCGCAATAATAAAAATTTAAATTTCATCTCTGATAGATGTTGCTATCTTTCAAACTAAAAGAGATAACATTTTGCCGACCACTGCCATCGAGCGGACAGGGAAATCGTCTCCTCCTTACTCCTATGGCGTCCTTCTGGAAGTGTCTTCTCATAAAAATTGACTTTCCCCAGACACCATACCTTGGGACTCAGGGTTGGACATTGGGGGGTCAAGGAACAGCAATGCAGGACCGAACAGTGTGGAAATGGATTGTTAATGGAGTTCCAACCAACCATAGGGAGGTCGAAGGTTGATAATGATAATTAAGACTTTAAGTTGCGAAGTCATTTTGTTGCGTTCGGAAAGAATTCCATAAAATTGACAGAATTTATGGTTTTGCTTAAAAATGGAAGTATTTCTCGTGTTTCTGCATAATGGCTGCAACTCAAGTTCAAATTCCAACATTTTTTTTTATCCTCTTTGACTTAAGAAGGTAATTAAAGTTTTACCAGAATTAAGCAAAAATGCAATGTGTGTGTGTGTGTGTGTGTGTGTGTGTGTGCATACGTGCAGAGAGAGAGAGATAGAGAGTAATAGAGAGAAAGAGATTGATTAATCCGTCTTTTACGGTTTATCAACCCTTTGCTTTTATGGTTTATCAACCCTTTGCTGGTTATTTCAAAGCAGAAAATATTTTTTTAATTTCTAAGATTTTTTTTTTTGTGGTGGTGGTGTGGGGGGGGGGGAGATAATAATGATTTAGTGATACAAGTCTTACTAATTGATCCATAGCTGGGGAGAGGAAAAGAGGCATAATGAGGTATAAATTTATAAACTGTATTTAAAGTGCTAGAACGAATTCACAAGTCATCGTGACCGAAGTCTTCAGTGTGCTTGCCGTGTTCAAATTGTTGATCACGCTAGATAACCCGCTCTTTCCCAGAAACTGAAACTAAGGTCTGCTCAGCATAGTTGCAGTATAAACCACGGGTGGGTTCTGTGGGTGTTGAATAAACACAAATGCGCCTGAGAAAACGTCTGCAATAGGGATTGGCTATCCGCCTTAGTAGACGTATATCCTCGAATACGAGTGGCCACCTATATTTAAAGTGGGGATCAATTCTATATTATAATCAATAAATAAACTGATCCCTCACTTTGTCGCCACTGTAGTTTCTATACATTGATATTCCAGAGAATGTAAATAAATCTAAAAGACATGCCTGTGTAGCTAATCAGGATATGATTGATTGATTCGTTTTTTATGGTTTATCAACCTTTTGCGGGTTATTTAAAGCCAGAAGATACGTTTTAAATTGTAAGAATTTTTTGTTTTGTTTTTCGAGATAGTAATGGTCTAGTGATAGAAGTCTTAATAATTAACCCATAGATCGGGGGGAGAAGCGATGGATTCATACCAGATGTGAATTTGATAAACAAACAAGAAATTATAATGTGGATATCAAATGGCGGATCGATTCGATATTACAATCACTATATAAACTGATCCCTCACTTTGTGGTCACGGTAGTTTCTTTATATTTGTATTCCACAAAATGTAAATAAATCTAAAAGACGTGTCTGTAGTTGATCAGTATTTCATTCATTCATAGATTCGTTTTTTACGGCTTATCAACACGTTGCAGGTTATTTAAAGCCAGGAAATAATTATAGATAGTGATATTTTTTTTTTAGGTATTAATGGTTTAGTGATACAAGTCTTACTAATTAACCCATACCCGGTGGGGAAGATGTGGATCCACACCTTCCCCAAGGGTATTTTCGTGGAAGTGTATATAACGAACCCAACTGGAATTGGAGCTCGGCTCTCCGATTAGCAATTTGGAGCCATTATCAATTACACCACCTGTACATTTAAGCTTACTGTACCTGGTATTCCCAAGTGGTTACCCATCTAGTTATTGACCAGGCCCGATACTGCTTAACTTCGGTGATCGTACGGGAACCGCTGCTCCAAACGGGATGTGACCGTAAATGCAGGCAATACAAGGACAAGAATTAAGAAGACAGTGGATAACGATTGACATTGCATTTAAATTTTTAAATATCAAAATTGACTGGAAAGGAAGAAGCGGAAAGAGATTTGCACAAGCAAGAATTGCGATAGGAAAACTGGTAGATTACAAATTATGGTTACATTTCTGTCATTGCAACTCTAAAATGACGAGACCTTGCTTGCCAATCTACATGATACTCTACGAAAACCAGACAATTTTAAATTTACTATATAATGAAAAGAAAAAAATTGACTATACATTTCACCATATTAACAAAAAAATTAACTAACATATAAATTTTTTAACCATTTGTTGTTCCAGGATGCTGCAGTTATCAAATTTTCAACGCGATATGATTGTTCTCTTTAAGAAAGAACATCCAACTTTGGGACTGAAAAAATGCCGAAAGATTTTGTCTCAGTTCTTTAGTTTGAACAACACATTTAACATTTGTGTTTTTGTTCTGTTTTAAGCTACTAAATTTCTATCCTTTGCTTTCGTTTCAAATAACTATAACAAAAATTCCAAAAATTAATTAAACTGGACCGAATTCACTGGTTTTCTTGTGGGGTATAGACTCTTTCTGAGCATTTATATTTTCTATCTCTCACAGCCTCGTTCTGGGTATTTATATTTGCTGTCTGTTATAGCCTCGTTATGGGTATTTATATTTACTATCCGTTATAGCCTCTTTCTGAGTATTTATATTTGCTGTCCCTTACAGCCCCGTTCTGAGTATTTATATTTGTTGTCTGCTATAGCCTCGTTCTGAGTATTTATATTTCCTGTCCGTTATAGCCTCGTTCTGTGTATTTATATTTGCTGTCTATTATAATCTTGTTCTAAGTATTTCATATTTCCGCTGTCACAGATTTGTCCTTAGTATTTGACATGTTCGCTGTCTGTTATAGCCTCGTTGCAAGTATTTCATTTCTCTGCTGCCTGTTACAACCTCGTTTTGGCTATTTGATATGTCTGCTGTCAGTTACAGCGCCGTTCTGAGAATTTTCCATATTTTACTGCCAATTTTCTTCTTATAACTATTCAAATGAACGTGTTTCACAACATCTGTATCATTTTGCATATTCGGACCTTTTTGCATATTCACATCATTTCAAACTCAAAACTATTTCCCTATTCCAAAGGCTGTCTATTTACTCTTACTTTCTTACTTGAAAATGATTAATGTGTACCCCGAACGTTACACATTATTTGTGTAACTTCCTTTACAATTTACTGCCTAATATTAAACAATATAGTCTACAAAAGAAAATCACTGAAATAGCTCAACAGGCATTGTTCTTTTCTCGTTTTTTTCAGTAAAAAGTGTTACGGTTGCCTAAATATTTTACACACACACACACACACACACACACACATATATATATATATATATAACTTTAAAAATCAGGAGGTCAGTTGAATCCGCCACCTTGGTTTCAACCTTACGGTATCCTCAACCGTTTTTTTTTGTTTTTTTATCAAATGACCACCTAAAGCTTTTTTTTTATTAAAAAAAACAAAACAAAGAACGCTGCATTATTATTTACAAAAATAGACAAATAAATAAAAGAACGTCGATCAAACTCATGACGTTAGACGAAGAAGGCCGAAATTATTAGGCACCCAGTGAGGATCGTACTCACAATACAGTTGTAACTGATCTAGAAGAAGAAGAAGAAGAAGAAGAATCATTATCATCTTTTATCAGTTAGGGTTTAAATTACTTTTTTTTATCCAGCCTCATATGCAATTAATAAAAAATTTCCGATATGTGAACAAAGACTCAAAACTTCATATTTCTGGTTTAAAAGTTGTTTTTTTTTGGGGGGGGGTTGTTATTTTTATCTGGAAATTTCATAATCGTTAATTTTTCATGTTGTCATAGGTTGTAAATATTGTTGAGATTGTTGTACGGTTTTGCCTTTTTTAAAAATTCCCACCTAACGAAGGGATCCCTGTCGTTTTTTGTTTGTTTTTTTATTTTAAATTCTACACGTGGTTAGCAAGTTTGGTGGAGTACCTAAGACTTGCCAGCTTAAACGATGACAGGACATTTTTATTAAAAAATAAACGACGACATATATATATATATAGAGAGAGAGATAGAGAGAGAGAGATAGAGAGAGAGAGTGAGAGAGACAGAGACGAAGACAGGAGAGACTCAGAGAGAGAGAGACATATTTATTAAACGTTACTTTAGTGGATACACATATATTAATAAATAAAAAAAATCTATTACTTCTTTAGAAATAGTTAGATAGTGATTTATTAAGTGTAGCTTAGATGTGGCACAATGCCGAAATTATTAGGCACCCAGTGAGGATCGTACTCACAATTCAATTGTAACTGATCTAGAGAGATAAGCTTGCTAACCATAACACCACGATGAAGTGACCGGTAGATAGATAGATAGATAGATAGATAGATAGATAGATAGATAGATAGATAGATAGATAGATAGATAGATAGATAGAGTGGGCGGATGAAAAAAATTAGAGATATAAAAAAACAACAATAATAATGATAATAATAATAATAATAATAGTCATTGTATGTTTAGACCAAATAGAAGATATGATGTTAAAAACTTTGAATTCTCAGACATGTGTGTCCTTTCTTAACGGGAAATGAAGTTGAATTTCTGGGGAGGAAATTATATATATATATATATATATATATATATATATATATATATATATATATATATATATATATATATATATATATTAAGAAATGGACAAAGTCCGACAATTTATTTATTATTAAAAACATTTTTATGTTTAACGTTCTTTTTTCTTTTTTATAGATACAAGTATTTAAGTACTTATTTACTTAAATACTTCTATCTATATAAAAAAAGAACGTTAAATATAAAATGTCTTTTTATATATATATATATATATATATATATATATATATATACCGGGTATAACAGCAAAATTGTCTAAATCGTGAAACAGCATAATTGGCCATCTCATAAAATGTTTAATATCTAAAAAAAAAAAAAATACGTTAAACAAAGTGACTTTCTTTTTTTTTCCAGTGAGAACGGTGAATAAGTTTAAAAAAGAGGGAACAGTAGCGAGGAAAACTGAATCAGGAGGTCACAACAACAAGAGGGATCATCATTTCAACTTAGAGCTAAAGAGATCAATTAGAAAAGATCCAACTCAATTCATAAGACGTTTTGCGCGTACTTGAGGAACTTCAACTATGTCAGTCGAAAGAGCAGTGAAAAAAAACATGTAAAGCATATTGTTACTCCATGACAGAAAGTTAGGTTACAGAGGGCGAATATCATCTTGAATAAGTTGAAAATCATCCTTGAATAATATATATATATATATATATATATATATATATATATATATATATGAAATTTATTTCAATCCTTCATGAGCTTCCGATTTTTAGCTATGATTAATTAATGATAAACAGGCCATTTTTTATGGTAGATTTCATTACAATTTTTCTGTTAAGATTCAAGAGTAATTATATATTCTTATTGCTCAATGTAGAGTCCAATAGTGTTATAAAAACTTCGTAGAATTCCAGTAAGATATCTTTAATCATTTCTAAGTTACAACGGTTCAAATCTTAATATAGAAATGGACAATTTTGCTTTCACACGATTGGTACAGTTTTGCTGTCTGTTATAGCCTCGTTGCAAGTATTTCATTTCTCTGTATATATTTCAGTATATATTCTCTAAAATCTCAATGTTAGTGATCAATTCGCTCCAATGAACATTTGGGTTGGCGCAAATGGATTGCTGATGGAAGCACTCGAGGAGTTACAGATGTAATAGATCGATAGATGTATTAAATCAATTGAGTGTTGTATATATATATATATATATATATATATATATATATATATATGTGTGTGTGTGTGTCTGCGCGTGTGTGTGTAATTTATATATCCTTATGGACGTATGGGCACGAATGCACACACACGCGCTCACATAATGTGAAAGAAAAAAAAAAAACTTGGACCAATGAAAAGTGCATACAAAAAAAATAATCGAGAAGTATAAACAGTCAACTGCTGATATCCCCTGACGAGTGGGCGAAATGATTTCCGTAGAGCCCGTTTATGAAACCGTAGTGTCGGCATGATGAAGGTAACATCAATAAGCTAAGTTACAAACCGTTTATTTGTATTATATATATATATATATATATATATATATATATATATATATATATAATTTTGCATAATTTTATATATAAAACAACAGTATTTAGAAAAAATATGATAAACCTGTCACTTTAAAAAAAACATTCCAGTTTGTCATATTTTTTATACATCTATATATATGCATATATATATATATATATATATATATATATATATATATATATATATATATATATATATATATACTTGAAGTTAATGTATTGGTGCAGCAGATCATTATTCAAACATATATTGTTAAATATAACAGACAATGAATGTTTATTATGTTTGATCATCAGCCGTTCTAAGCGTCGTATAATGTTTTTAGTTTCTGCTCAACATTTGTATATTTATATTATGTTGTTCCTCCATCTAAGCTTTCGGCTCACATGAGCCATCATCAGAGTGGTTGTTACAGAGATTCGTAAATGAACCATTGTGCAATTGTTCGGTCCACTCGTCAGGAGGTATCATCAAATTTCTGTCAATTTCTCTAGTTTTCATTAATTTTATAAAAGAATAATAATTTATGAATTTTTTAAAAAAATTTTATAACTTATGCATTTTTATTGGTGTTACTCTGATTTGCGTGCATGCGTGTGTGTAAATGATATAGCACGTCAGGATATATGTAGGTTTCGTGTGGGGTGGGGGTCGATATATTAAAATAAATGTCGAACTCATCCCATTTCATAATATATATAGTCATCCACAGTGTTTCGCTGTATCATAGTTCATCAGTGTGTTTAGACGTCCGCTTGTCTCGAAACCCGGTTGAATTGGCGTCAGTCGCAG